GTGTAAACTAAAACCAAGTCACCACCATTGGGCTTGAAAGCCATATTACCCGGGGATCCTTCCATGTATCACAACTGCTGTTGAAACCAGTCGATTAATATACAGACTAAGTCTATGGCTGTGTATTTTATAGTCAAGTGAAAAACAAGCTTTGGGACAATAAACCCAGGGCAAATACCGTCCGAGATGAGGTGTTTGCTTGGTTAGGTGGGAGGCTTTATGCAGCGTGTCTAGATATCCGAGGACAACCAATAGCACCACCGGTCAACTGCTCGCAGCCGTACGGTTTGGGCTTGTTGGAGACTGAGGGTTCGAATCTCATGAGATATGTATTACTGTTGATCGTCAATGAGAATGAAACAACTGTACAGTGCCATTTGGCTTTTCAGTGTAGTTTGTTTCATTTACAACATCCAGTACCAACAGGACTAAATACAGCTCAACAGACACGTTGCGATGGACTGAGTGAGTATATTATGACAGGTTCTGAGCACATTTTAGCAGTTTAAAACGTGGTGCAGTGGGATTGTGGTCTTTAGAAACTTTTGAAAAAGGGTTTGCTGAAATCATCCGCGCTCAAATTGCTTATGCATCAGCACTAGGGGAAAAGCGTTAGTATCATTGAGGAATCTGGTCATAAACAGCCTAAAATTGTCTAATGAAAATGGGATGTTTTTGATACTAGGCTCTACCCGATCACTACAAGGGTGAGAGTAGACAGCCGATACCAGCCAGGCATGTCTGGTCACCACCTGCAGCATAAACATATCGAATCTATTGATTGCCACTTTTGTCAGTACCATTAACTGATGGCCATTCAAGAAGGGGCTTAAGGTAACCCGTTGCTGAGTCCCCGGGGGTAACTGATCCCCTAGTTGGGGTGATCGGGTGCAGAATTCAGACGACTTTCATTGGTCATACATGAACATCTAGTTGATAAATGTATGCCTAAGCCCTAGTAGTTGAGGGGCAGTGGTCAACACAGCGGTCAACGAAGCGGTCCTTCATAGCTACCATGTGTTCGTGCATCAGGCTAGGTCGAAAACGAGCAGTTTGGCCATCAGTAAACATCCGGTATATAAAACACCAAGCTTAGAATTGGTTAGAAGGATAGTACAAACCAAGCGGTGTAGAGTGTAGAGAGAGTGTGTGTGCGTGTGTGGAGATTTGCACATGTCCAACCTAGTGTTGTAGCCGAGTAGTTTGGAAACACAGCTGACGTCATCTATACCATCGACCACGTGTTAGTTTCATACCAGTTTCGGTTTTACCGAGGCACAATCACATCCTATCATAAGAGACCTATCCTGAGTTATACGAAGCCAACAGGTCTTCAACGATGGCCTTTTGTCACAGGAGAGTTGACCACAAATTACTGTAATTTGTGATCAAAAGGTGTGCCTATTTTTGTTACCTCACAAGCAAGGCTAACACCAACCAACCAGCATTGGTTTACTTCCCACCGAAGGATAAGAGGAAACGGTGTTTTTCAAATTCACCTATTGTTTCAACCGTATCTCCCTTAGTAAAGTCATGTGTTACATAAGCGATGCCTATTGTCATACCCTCAATGGAGAAAATTGTCGTTACCATGACAACTGAGCATTGTCAGTCCCATTAATGTGGATGTAAAAACAACCAACGGTGACTATTGACGATGCGTCTTCTGTTCGTTGCTAGGATAACGAACTGTGGCCGAAATTTTGTTGTGCTTTTTCACGGTACTCAGGAGCATTAGATACAAAATTGGTATCTCAGCGACCAAGCTGATACGTTGCTTTCTATTTAGATAGAACACCAACCAAATTTGTTTTTCAATGAGAGAATCCCCATCAGCCTCTAGTCACACACAACCTGTGTCGAAGTTTCTTTGTCGTCAGAAGCCCCCGTTGGTAGTTCCTTACCTTCTCCTACATGGTCGATTTAACCAGGATTCAAGACGAACAGGAGCCTAACGGAAACCTGGGAACCGCACTTACCTGATGAACTCCAAGAAGGGAACAACCGGTTGTGGGCTGTCGAGGAGTTTTCAGCAACCCTATGAGTAATGCATAACGTCTATACAATGTATTGCGATATCTCGGATATCAACCCAACCGAAACACGAGGCGGCCTGATGTAGCACCTTCAGTTGTGTAAAAAAAATCATAGACCAGAGATTCAGCTGGGCTCCAATTGAGCAAAGTTCTCGAATTCAACAAGATGTGGGAACAAGTTAAAGCGAGAGGCGTGAAAGGAATGTCTTTGTTAAATTTTTCAAAGTCATTGAATTGCGATATCTCAAACATCGAACCAACCAAAACATGAGCCGGCCTGGTGCAGCATGTTTAGTTGAATAACCTCATAAACAAGAGATTCAGCTGAGATTCAGGTGGTTCTCTCAAGATAACCAAAATGGCATGCAAATGAGTGCATTTTTCAGACAAGTTGGTTCTTTTCAATAGCTCAAATCGCTTTTATAGCGCAGTGAGCAGCAGGTTGGACTGTTTACCGTTCGGATGTGGATGTCAGAGTCATCAACGGTGCTATGCCATCTTTTAGGACACAACAAACCCATAACGAAAAGATTAGGTAGGTGTACTTCTAACAGAGGTGACGTTCTTAGAGAGCTTCCTTCTGATTCAAGGATCTGGCTTATTGAGCACTGCTGATAGGCTATTGTAAGCCCAACATGTACATACGGACCTTCAGACACGGGTGGCTTTATTAAGGCAACCTGATGGGACATCCCAAAGGTGTGTTGTGGCGCTGCACGATTCTCATATGTTAACAGGTGGTTTTTGTTCTGACCAAAGGATCTGTGAGACACAAAAACGCCAAATTTTTAAACGTACCAAACTCCTTCAGTGACTGGAGAATTATCCGGCTTCTATTGTCCAAACACTTTCCATAATATTGCCATGTAGTGCATATTAGTTCTGATGGAAAAGAGTCTTGAATGGTTTGATGGGGTGCTAGTTTGGGGTGGTGCTAAGACTGTGTCGCATCCACCTCCCAGGTTTGTGCATAGTTTATGTCAATCCATTCGAAGCAATTTCCTGTGAATCCTGAATTTGCTGTTCGAGATTACGTATCACCTGCTGGCCAAAAGCCGCTCCAACCTCCTATTCATCATCATCACCATCGGCAAGCATAACGTTGATGTTCAACACTGACGTTTCACTGCTATATATGCCGTTCCAATCTAACCAGCGGCAATGAAAATTTCTATTGGACATTAACGTGACCGTACCCATTATAACCCCAACGAAAACCCAGTGTTCGACCCCTCCTGTGTTTCACAGTGAAAGCTTGGTGTTTCCATTTGTCAACACTAGGGCTTTATTTTCAGGTAGTAATCATGTGGCGGCAAGTCAGTCATACGACTGTTCGACCAGTGCGATGTTATTTTAGACGCCCTTTGATCTTGACCAATAAAGTCAATATGAATATTCGTTTATATTTGCCAGATATAACTTAAGTCGGAGAACGCCGTCTTTACAAACAGTGGCTAAAATATTGATCTTTCAGTGTCCGATTTCATGCCACATTGAATAAGGTAATGGATGACGCTATAGTTGAAGATGAGCAACTTCAAATTCTTGAAGAGGAGAGAAAAACACAAAAGTCTACCACCGGAGAATGAAAAATTTGATAAATACACCAGAACACAATGATTAGTAATAAGAACCGTTGGAGGTTATCAAAAAACACTATTAACAAGCCGAAGTTATCGAAATGAGTAACAATCACAATGCAGCTGAACTAAAATGCGATGGAGCGGTGAGGTGTTAAGTTTGTTTGAAATCTTTTGACAACTTGTACAACACTGAAACTGTACTTGTTGACGATGTTGCAGAATAAAGATGGCAGGAAGGAAGCCTTTACTGCAGAGTTATTTAACGGAAAACACCAACTGGGCAGAGTATTCGACAAGGAAGCAAAACTTTCAAATGCATCTTGTTTATAAAACTCGAATATCCGTCTCCTTCTCGAATGCGTCTTCCTGAACTTTATTGGATACTAGTTGACTTTCGCTCAAACGTAGACGAGTGCTACAAAGCGATTCCACAAATTCTGTAATAAATCTCACTTTTCAATAGACGCCAAGCGCATTCACGAGAAATCCCATACTACTTGCATGCTTCATCAGTAGTATCCGTCGTTACGCAGGTCGCTGTACTGGGCTGTTTGGTTGTTTTGTTCACCGAGTCTGGCATTTTCACTGATTACTTTATTGCTTGCTGTCATGAGACAGGGAATAAGCCCACGTCTAGGACACAATATATCCCCAAAGGGTGGTTAAACGTCAGATCACAGTCTCGTGAAAGGAACTGTGCTACTTTTTTCCTTGTAATAGATCTTAATTTGAATTGATATGATTATAGGTCAAAATTACCGTTTTTAGTAGGTGGGTTGCCTAGATCAGACGATCAAGGTGACCATATAATTCTGTCATTTTACACATGTTTGCTCCGACAAGGTATAACCAAGCGAGATTTGAAGCCCGAAATTCTGTGGGTAGAGCTACTTGTTTATGTCCAGATGCCTGAGAACTTCAAATATTCTGAACTCAAATGTGCTGACCGTGGACTTAGAAACTAGGATTGCCACATCGCAGGTGTTTACACCTTGTTTTGCATGTGAATCCATCAGGTCTCGATGTTCTAGAGCTTTGCACCTTAAAACGAAAGTGTCTTCGGAAAATGAAGTATTTTATTGGTTTTTCATCGCCTTGTAGGTAGAATTATTTATGTAAAACAATCACTGTGGGTCAAACGAACACCTTTTTATACCCAGGTGTTTCTTTGTGAGTAGGTGTAGAATCATTAGAACTTGTTTTCAAACGGGCAGATGAGTCGCACCGCCTTTGCCTGTTGCGACGTTTTGACTTAGGTGATACGCTTGCCCTACACGGCGTTCTTCGACACTCAGTACGTTTGTGTCGGATCGTTAGGTTGCTTACCTAGCCCGACAAGGAGAAATGGTGCATGCTGAACAAAAACAGCACATGACTTACATCGGATGCCACGTGTACACTGCTTCCAACAACTAAGTTTATCTGCCTTAGTACTCGTCTCCGCGGGATATTCGGAAGACGGATCGTAGGGTGTCCCAAGGTCGTGCATCGTTCCAAACTTGTCTTCCATGCCCATTCCCCATTCTTGACCACCATCGAAAGCGAAATTGACGTGATGGGATTTCGAATTGCGCTTTGTAACTTCACCTTCCATAATTTGTCTGGTTGGGTCAAAAGAAAGAGCAGTAAACAGATCAATCAGCAGAGGAATCAAGCACAGTGAGAAATCTAGCAGCCGAGAATATTCCGTAAACAGAGAAAATATATGACCACCTATGGATGAATTGTACTCACTCGCTCGTTTTGCATTCGAATAATGGAAGAGCGATTATTTGTTCGATTGAAGGAACAAGTTAAATTGATTGGTGGTGGCGCTCGGTGCACTCCCTACAATCTCTAATG